GATGCGCAGAATTCCCCCACCTTCCCCTACGTTTTTTGGACTTTAAATAAACGGTGTGTGTTTACGGATTAATATTAATAATCTTTTTAAACGTTGTAGTGGCATTGGTTTATATTATGTAACATAGGTAGATGTCGTATAAAAATCCTTACCCAGAAATTCTAGGCTAGAATACAAAAATATTTTTATTATATAAATTTTGTACTAGTATTAGTTTAATACATTCTGAAGAAGCTACTGGGTAGCGAAACAATTGTCAATATTTAATAAATTTCGTGAAACTAACGCAAGTTGTTTTTATATCCACACAATTTAAATATCTTTCACTTTGTACCTGACCTGCGTAAACATTTTTGTTTTTTGTCACCAATTCTGAAATATTTGCGTTTACAGTTAAAAGAATAGTATATTCTGTAACAATTTTGACGGTTTCACGAGAGGGGAATATGCAATTCCAAACGTGTTTCAGACTATACTTTTTCTACGTTTCCAAAAAATACCAAAGACAGAATTTAATTGGAAGAAAGTGAGGTTGGATCGGTCTAAAAATTTGTTAGATATTAAAAACAGAGATGTCGCCACGAGTGTACGTTCTGTCATCAGATGATAGAATATTTCATTAAAGTTAAAAGAAAAGTTTATTTATTAATTAGTTTCTAAGAAAATTACATTTTATTTAATTATCGTAGATGTTAATTATTAAAATTTAACTTTAAAAGCAAATATATCATAAGTATAGCAACCCACATTACACTCAGTGCCGGTTTAACAGGGGTTTTTTGGGGACTATAGCACCGGGCGGTAAATATTTTTGGGGCGGTACCGCGTACCACCCATATTTTTTTTTAAAAATACTTAAGTAATTGTTAGAATTTAGAAAAAAAAATATTGCGACACTGCGTCGGCGGATACAACGGATACAACGGATACAAATGAGAAAAATGTTGTTAGAGTTGAAGCAGCTTCTCCATCAGAAAAACTTGATTTATTGGAAACTGAATAATTTTAACTTTTTGGATAGACGTTTTGCAAAGGTTTAATGAAACCAATAAAGCAGTCCAAAAACAAAATATGGATTTAAGCACAAATGCTCATCTTTTAGTTGAGAACTTTGATTTTTTACGTGATCATTTTGATCATTATGAGGAAATTAACAGGAAACGAAAATTATGCTCAGAAGCTGATTTGAAGAAAATAATTCAGAGGCAAGTTTAAGCAAAAAAGAAACAATGCGAACAATATGTTTTATTTTAATAATTGACCATCTATAATCCGAAATCATTTGTCGATATGATAGCTAGACATCTGGCACAAACAAATTTGAATTTTTGTTTAATCTAAAAGTATAAATCTTCGTGGAGGATTTGGATGAACTTAAGAAACTGGTAACTTCCCTTTCGGAAATAAAAATATAAACTCCATTGGAATTAGTATAAGTTTTATACGAAAATAAATTAATATCTTCATTTTTGAATATTAATATTTGTCTGCGAATTTTTTTTTTATAATGGTTTCAAATGCAAGTGGTGAACGATCTTTTTCCACTCTAAAAAGGGTAAAGAACTACCTAAGAAATACAATTCCCCAAGAAAGATTTAACTCCTTAGCAAATCTGTCCTGCTAGATGAAATAATAATAATAATAATAATAATAATAATAATAATAATAATAATAATATAATGTAAAGTGTTATAAAACAATTTGCTACTAAAAAGGCTTGAAAACAACCTTTTAATTATTAGTATTAGGATTTCTCAATATTTATTTAAACCAAAGAAGAATGTTTTATTAATTTATAACTTTTGATTAGTTTTTATTAGTTTAATGAAACAAAATATTAAACTTTTATTTTTTAATTAGCTTTTTTTAGTACTTAGTATTGTTTATATAAACCAAAGAATGTTTTATTTTTTAGTTTAGTGCTTTTGATTAGTTTTTATAATTTGTTTATAAAGGCTCATTTTATATTTTATAGGATACTAAGTTTACTGTTAGATACCAGCCTAACCAAGCTAATCTTCCACTTGACGTGAGAAAGTAAGACTTAAAAATTTAAAAATGTTTTTAAAAAAGTAATATTTTAAAGCATTGGGCGTTGTGTTTGTGCCAGAACCGGGCGGCGAACTAACTTAAACCGGCACTGATTACACTCAAGATTTTTTACAAACTGGACTGCACTGGACCGTGACCTTCGATAGATTGCTTCGTACGAATGTGTCGGATGAGTCACGTTCATATATTCGTGGTTTCTACTTTACATTTCATTACTTCCTTAAACTATATTTTAATTTAATTGTAATCACAGAACATAATGGACTGATTAACTCCGCCCACAATGGATATTGACTGAAATATTTAGTTATTATCCATAATGCCTAAAGTTCTTAGTTTTTATGCATAATGACTAAAAACTTTAGGCTTTACGCATAAATCCTAAAATGCTTAGTCATTATGCATAATGACCGTTTTCGGATATTGGCGGTAACATATACACTATATATAGTTTTGTATACACTATATTTATTTGAGTGTGTATGGACTATATACAGGGTGGTCCATTGAAAACACTCCAGAAGGGTTTACGGCTTTGAATGTAAAAATAAAAAATAAACTTTTATTTTCAGGTGGACATATTTACAAAAATAATTTCATCACTGTAACTTCAACCCCAAAAGGGTCGAGATATTAAAACTATTTAAAAATCACCTACAGTCTTGTGTGAGGTTTAGAAGTTGCTGTGGTTAAATTTTTCTTGGCCGTTTAACCTAATATGTTAAATTATTAAAATATTATTTTACTGTGTGTTTTAGAAGTTATACGACCGCTCACCGTTAAGGAGTTGTTCGAAATCCATCCGAAAAACTTTAAACCGGCACTACATGTAAGAAACTTAAATTTGGATAAAAAGAAAAAAACCGTTTTAAAGGATATATCGATGAATGCTTACGAAAACCAAATCACTGTTTTTCTGTCTCACGATCGCACCGAAATCCTCAATTTTATTTCCATATTGATAGGTAAAGTACGTTTTTCTACTCTCACCTTTAAAACGGCCATTATCGTACATGTTTCTATGACACTAAGTGACCTTTTAAATACACATTGACAAGTTGTGGCTTTATGGCGCTTTAGTCACGGACTGAAGTTAGCAACAGGTTTTTAGTTACGGGCTGAAGTTAGTTTTAATAATAATGATAATAATAATAATAAACTGTAATAGTAGATTTGTGGTCATACTGATCAAAGATAATACATTATCTTTGTGTATTATCTTTGATACTAATTCTCCCCGCATGTGCTAGAATTTTTTATATCCATTTTAGTTTTAGACTTGTTGGTTTTTAAATGGGCACACGGTATATTTTGTGCTTTTAAACTTTAAACAGTTTAAAATTAGGTTGTTCTTTAACGGTTGACATTTGTTGTTGTGTAGTGAAAATTCAAAAACGTTGCCACATATTTTAACCCTTTATACTTTAATGGTCTCTATGTTAACCACATCCATTACAGCTTACTTAGAAATGAGGGAGAACCCAAACTTCGACCAAAGTACAAATAAATGAACTCATAATGTGCAGTGGGTATCATATTGGCCACAATTTAAATTTGGCAATTGTTAGAACCAATGTGGTCTCTATGTTAACCATTGCCCGTTCCCACAAAATTGCGAAAAAGTAACATTTGCAGTAATTGTTGCTGCTAGCGAGCATAAGCATATTTGTTTTACCTGACAACACACATAATTCAAAAGGTAATTGAATGCTTTATAACTTGTGATAATAGTACTTGGAAAATAGGTTAGCGCTAACGAAATATTTAGATCGTTTTGGAACATAACCTCTATCATGCTCCCATACCGTGAGACTATTGAATCCATGCTTATAAACGTCCAGTATATTTTGGTTTTTTAAAAAATTGGATTCAAGTAAACTATTTTATCTAGTCGTTGGTATAACCGAAGTTCAGGCTATGGATTCGGAGATTGAGGGCGATAGCCCATCAAGAGTCCCCAAGTACTTTTCGTCTGAATTCACCAAGTACATCTTCATGTTTATAAGTAACTTCTGCCAATACTTCAGCACGATCCAGCCTACGTAATCGTAGTGAGCAAACATCCAGTATACATTTCAGAAAATAAATTTTGAATAGATTTGGGGGTGAAAGTGACACTAATGCAGATGTTCTTTCAGATGACTCAGTATCGCGATAAGTCATCAGATTCAGAGAAAACTACCAGTAGTAGGTCATTTTTGAAAATTGACCAGTGAAAATAAAAATATGCATCACAGAAATGCCACTGTAACTTACTTACAAACACAAGAGTAGGTACAATCAAAAAATGAAGAAACTTTGAGAAATTGAAATTTACTAAAACCGTTTCTAGATAAGAATAATGACAGTGAACAATTTGGAAATAAATATTTGATTTTTTATAGCATACACCATGTAATTATTTTACCTGGTCCTGAAAAAAAACTAAAATCCTTTCAGAAACGCAAAAAAACCGATTAATTTAAATATGTGGTTTGCATTTAGACCACCGCCCATCTATCATCTTATGGGCAGTGTTTTCCATTTTATCCATCATGATAAATTTAAAAAAACAGTTGGATTTTCAAAATATTCATTAAAATAACTTCCTACATCCAAAATAGGTATGTCTTACCAAAAAAAATAAAATAAATAACAATTAATGGATTCTATAAAGGGTTAAAGGCAAGTGTCGGATTTTTTACTTCGTCAGTTACAGCGATATAAATTTATGCGTATTAACTTTATTTTAGCAAATTATCTTTATTAAGTAGGTAGATACGTTTCTTGGTAAATAAAGAAAGATCCACTCGCTCCTATAGAGAAACCTGTGTAGAGAAACCTGTGTATTTTCAATCAATTTTTAAAATTTTGTTTTTACCTTGCTCTCACTACAGGGCAACTAACCTTAAATAATGATGTGTTTTATTAAAAACGAAATTTTACGTCCTTTAATTGTAGGTGTAGAAATGCCAAGCACAGGAATTGCCACAATACGTGGATATGATACATGTTTGCAAACGACAAAAGTTCGCAGACGCTTGGGGATTTGTCCGCGTGAAAACATATTGTTCAAAGATCTCACAGTCTCCGAAAATATTTATTTTTACTGTAAGTTAAATGGAATACAGAAAAAGCAAGTGGAGGCTGCAGTTAATGGTTATATTAATTTGCTGAACCTAAAAGAGGAGGTAAAAAATTAAAATAGCATTTTTAAATTTAAATTATCTGTATGTATTACAATATTATGACAATTTATTGCAACTATAAATCTTTTAAAATAGATTTCACCCTAAATTTTAATTGGCATGATAGGAGAAGTCACACCTTCCGCTCCGATAAGTAACAGAACAAGTTCTATCCATTCTTTTTCAAAATAAAATTTTTGTTGCCACAGCGCAATTGGTTTTTATTTAAATAAAAAAGTAGATAAGGCACTTTTTGCAAAGAAACATACAAAAATACAACTTTTTTTAAAACTCCTTGAATATGAGTAGATATGGTCCTCCTACGAATCTCCTTCGTATCCCGCAACTTCACAGCATTACCTGTGTTTGATGGATACGAAGTTTAATCCCGGCTCACAGTGTTTCAATTCTCGAAATTTTCGGCAAAATATCAAGGAGTAGTCGGATTATCCTAAAAATCAGAATTCCAAAATTCAAAATGGTAGATCCAAAATGGCGGACATATTTGTCAAAAAATTGACAGAATAAATTGAAAATCACCAAACAGGGGTTTTTGTGGTCGCTGATAATGAATCTGGAATCAGAATTCCAAAATTCAAAATAGTGGACATTTTTATCAAAAAATTGTTGAAATTAATTAAGAAACCTTAAAAGTTCTTTTTAAAATGTAAATAAAACATCTTTTTATAAACACAACACAAATAACCACAATTCAAATTTGACATTAACACACTACAATACGCATGCAGAGTTTAACGCACCTACAAGAGGTGGGTTAAATATGTAAAATCGGTGTTAAATTTCTTAGTAGTCACGAACGATTTACACAAGTGAAAGTCTAGGCATCGCTGTTGTAATAAACGTTTTGAGTTAAATCCGAGTGAATCGAGTAAACGTCATGAACACAACCCAGAAAAAAAAATCTTATATTTTGTAAAGCCAAAACACAGATACGCGCGCGACATAGGCTTAAAATCGCGAGGTTTTTTACCACAACCGTGCCTGAGCGCCCAAGAACATGTAGTTTTAAAGAGCCGGGGGCAAGTTGGGGCAGATAATTTATTCATGGCTTGATAGATAAAACTCTAAGCTATTCAACGGATCTTGAACTGATATCTTACAATTCATTACAATTTTTGTAGCTCCATTGTTCTAAAAGCTCGATTCAAAGTTTGCGATTTTAACAGACCGATCTTGTCGTTTACAATAACCCGTTGTACAAGCAAAATCTACGAAAAACAAATACATATCTGAATTTTACATACCTTGAAGATCACCCTTCATCAAACCGCATAACAATCGATCGATCTTGTCGTTTACAATAACCCGTTGTACAAGCAAAATCTACGAAAAACAAATACATATCTGAATTTTACATACCTTGAAGATCACCCTTCATCAAACCGCATAACAATCGGTTACACCAAACACAAGTTATTCACTTTTAAACAATAAACAATTTTCCGCAGCGATCGCGTGTAAAGTACCTTCAACTGAAAGCGTCAAGTTTAAACTGATGTACAAGACAAAATATACGTATTTTTTATAATTTTTAATACAGGATGGAGACAGGTATTAATTACCATCTAACTCAAAATTTACCTGAAAAAAATGTAAATTTTTGAGGTTTTGCCGATATTTTCGAGAATTGAAACACTGTGCGGCTGGTTAATCTCCTTTTGAGAGATGGTGTACGGCAGTGTCGATGGTTAACACCCGGAATTTTTTCGCCTGGCCCATACGCCTGATTAGGCTGGTGGAGTTTTATGACAAGAAGGGAGAACCTTTTGGTTTTCACGGGACGTTAGACTGACCCAAATATAGGTACAACTTAGAATTCCCCTCAACCAGGGATTAAGTAACACTTACATTCAATTGGGGTTTATGCATGTGGATTGGTTGGTTAATACGCTGTAGGGGCCTATCTTGCTTATTGAGGTACTTTCAATCCATTTTGTCAATTTCAGCCTCTCGCAGAAACTCCATAGGAAACTCTAGTTTGATGTGGACGGGCATCTCGAATAATAATAGGCCGAATAATTAAATTTGCCCAGTCCACATTCCTTTGAATGATCCGAGTAATCGTACTATGGTCACAGCCTAATCTATCAGCTATTTAGTTATATTTTATACCATATACCTAAAAAAAACTGTTACAAATCAAGAAGCCTTAGTATAACAAATATAATATAATATGATTGACATATGACAGATACAAAATACATATTCAATACTTTTATTATTAGTAAAAAATATAGGTACACAATGTACTACACATACTTTTTGTACGATCAAATTGATTGAGGTAGATATTAATAAAACAAAAAAACATTTTTTTTCAGAAAAATTTGGCTGCGAAAAAACTAAATTTAGGCCAGCAAAAAAAGTTGTGCGTGCTTATAGCTTTCTTTGGAAAATCAAAAATTGTTATTTTGGACGGACCCACCTATCAAATGGATACTGCTTCGAGAAAATCAATATGGCGGCTAATACTTCAGCAAAAAGAGGGTATGCAAGCATTTTTGTGTTACAATTTACAATTACATAAAACAGACCATAAAGTATTTTAAGTTTTCGACGTGCTGTAGACTTTTTGTATTACAACTGGCTTTTAAAAAATTCTAATTCAAAAGTGTAAAAACAAAGTTTTTTTTTTCATTTTTTAAGGTCCTATTACATCACAATGGAGTAGTATATACTTAGGATACCAGAACAAGTTCTGTGGAAACAAATTATTTCGTTATACAACAAAATGCGTTTTTACTACTTTTGGTCAAAAATCTTTCAAAAACTTGACGTGATAAAACAAAAATAAGAACTGGGAAGACCCCCTTTAATAACCATGCCCCGCCACCGACCGAAAGTAATAATTCTCCTGGGGATGATTATAAATTTTTGCAGCTTTTGATTCGTTATTCTGCGATGCAGTATTGTATTGCTTCCGCAGCGGAGCATAATAAGACGAAGGGGATAAATCATCATCTATGCATTAAGATCGAGGCTTTTGAGAATGTATGCAGTATTTAGTAGAAGCGTCTTGCCTCGCTTACTGTTGCGGTGGACCACACCGAAATAGAAGTAGTTCCGGGAACCCCTCTGCCTGATTCAAAGATTGCCTTCCTTCCTTCCGTAGAAATTTTTAAGTTTACGGGAGGAAGGAATGCCGTCCTTACGGTACGGGAATCTATAAGTGGCACTACGATTTATATAAACATTTTTGACGTAATTGTCACCATTAACATTGCCCGTTATTAATTTTAATTAAACTTAATAAATATTGATACTTTAAAATATTAAAATAACTTCAAAATATGATTTTGTTAAGAAAATATTTTATTCTTTGATTTTTTTTATTACTATAATTGCAAAATATGATCACAAAGTATTAAAAATTCTTACACGGGAAATGTTTATGGTGACAATTACGTAATGTTCATCTTCTACGGGAGGAAGGAAGGAAGGCAATCTATAAATCAGGCTTAATCTCCAGAAGTTTTTACTGTTGCTACCAAGTTGCTACCAAGGCACCTGGTCTTAAACCTGTATCTTTGGCTTAGGAACCAAAGATTGGTCCCATAATAATCCGTTCTACCCAGAACTGGATTACTTTGTAAAAGAGAGGTTTAACCTCAAGATTTATGAAGCCCGGATGGCATTCAAATCTTTCCGATGACCGAAAACGATGAACGCGATATAACTAAGAAATTAAATAATGATAAGATTCCTTATCACTGTTTTTCCCCTTCCCACTCGGAAAGACGACTTCACGTTGTCATAAGAGGAATCCCTTCAGATATTCCCTTAGAAAATGTCAAGGCCTAAATGTCACGGCCATCAGCCATTTATCAAATAGAGCAACTAAAAAGACAACCCCAAATTTACGAGGTCCTATACAGGGTGTTATGTAATTAATGTTATATATTAAAATACTGAATACCTTTTGACATAAGGAATAAAGGAAAAATATTTAAAAAAACATTTTTCCAAAGATAAAGAAAAAATATGCATTAGAAGTTTTTTATATTTTTTGTGATACGCCACTGGTTACACACTTGTTTATCTCTGCACACCTGTATTTTGTGAGTACATAGATACCAACTAAGAAGATTATATATAATCGTTGCCAGATGTAAAAAATTGTTACTAAAAATTTTTCTTGCAAAAAATAAATAAAAACTCAATAAATACAAAAGTTTTATGCCCTTAAAGCTCTAATACGCTTCTGTATTTATTTACTGATCCAGCTATTAGCTTAAGCAATGATTAGAAAATTTAGTACCTTTAAAATTTGAAATCCATAACCACAAAATTAATTTTTTCATCAGTTTTTTTCTTTGTTTACTCAGATGAAATTGGGACCAGTTCACAGGTTAAACTTTAAACATTTAATTTGTGTAAATAAATCCAAAAGCACTTCCCTTAGTTAAGATATTTACAATTTGAAAACATAATCTAAAATTTAAAAGAAATGCACTAGATTCTGTCAGTTGGCAGATTTTGTTTGAATTTACCTTTAGTACAAAAATGAAATAACCAACAATTAATAAAAACGCCAAATTGACAATTTGCATTGTTAATTTTGTCATTTTTGTAATTAAGCTAAATTTAAACAATGTTTGTCAACTTTTTTGAGAGATTTTGGAAACACTGTTACCAACCATAACATAATAAATCCACCAGATTAACCTAAAGTTCCTAGTCGATCAGTGGCGTACTTTTTGGTAGGATAAAGGTTATTATAAATTATTTTTAGACTTTGGAATTTAAAAAAAAAAATTCAGGTGCTTCTTTATGGACCCTAAGGAACAACCCATTTTAATATATAACATTAATTACATAACACCCTGTATATCTGCGATCTCAGTGTAGAGGCCCAGATAGCTAAAAGGCTCCACGCAACTTTCCTGAAGCCAAGTGAAAGCTGGCTATTCCTACGCCAACCGACAAAATAATGACACTATTTGGACCCAAACCCCTATAGGGCCTGAGACCCCTCTCGTATTAGATACATAAAAACTATTCAGTTTGTTTTCGGCATTTATAAATGCCATGCTACCCCAACTCAGTTCACCCGCCAATCTCGGTTAAAACCTTCTACTCCGATCCCACCGATTGTAATTTTTTGTTCCAATATGGGTATCAATATTGCATATTGGTATTTGCATTGATTGTAGACCTGGTGGTATTAGAATGTTTATGCTAGTTTTGTTTTTGCTAGCTCATGATTTTATTACTCCTTGTAGCCCACTAGACCAGTGCAGAAGCCTTTAAAAATGGTAAAAAGAGAACAAAAATAACAGTAGGATGAAACCCATTGGAAAAGGAGGGGAATATAATAAAAATTAAAGGAAAATAAATTACGGGCGATCTGAGTTCGGGAAGTGGGAGGGGGGGGGTTTAAGGGTAAAAATGGTTTATCTCGATTTCCGGCAAAACTACAAGTCCTATGGAAAAAAGTTAAATGTCAAAGTTGTAGGTAATAAAAAGATCTACAACTTTTGTATTTACAATTTTTTCACATAACCTCAAAATTTATGTGAAAAATTCAAAAAACCAAGTTTTTGGTTTTTTATTTTTATCTTTTTCAAAAAAAAGTTTTTTTCCACGAAATTTGGTGAAAACTTACCTTTTTATGTCCCAAATACACTGTAATTTATTTGATTTGAAATATTTATTATTTCGCCTTATTTTGACTTAATATCAAAAAAGCACCCTAATTTTCAATCGAAAATTCTCGCGTCAAAATATCAGCTTTTTTCAAAAAATCGGTGTGCTTTTTGTTCGATGAACTCTCTACTTTCTGATGGTGTAAAAAAATATATACATTACTATGGTAAATGTTCTCAGAAAATACAAAACATATTATAATGAATAACGTAATCAGAATGAAGTATCTAAATTCAATAGTATGATTTACATGTATTTTTATATTTTATGAGATTTTCTGACATAAATGTTATTAGAATTTAATAAATAAACCTTTTAACTAAAAAAAATTGCAACAATCACATTTTTTTAATGAAATTGTACATAATGATTAAAATAAATTTTCGAATTCGAGTTTTTTTCGTTATTCATTATAATATTTTTTGCATTTTCTGAGAACATTTACCATAGTAATGTATATATTTTTTACACCATCAGAAAGTAGAGATTTCAACGAACAAAAAGCACACCGACTTTTTGAAAAAAGCTGATATTTTGACGCGAGAATTTTCGATTGAAAATTAGGGTGCTTTTTTGATATTAAGTCAAAATAAGGCGAAATAATAAATATTTCAAATCAAATAAATTACAGTGTATTTGGGACATAAAAAGGTAAGTTTTCACCAAATTTCGTGAAAAAAAATTTTTTTTTTAAAAAGATAAAAATAAAAAACCAAAAAATTGGTTTTTTTTAATTTTTCACATAAATTTTGAGGTTATGTAAAAAAATTGTAATTACAAAAATTGTAGATCCTTTTATTACCTACAACTTTGCCATTTAACTTTTTTCCATAGGACTTGTAGTTTTGCCGGAAATCGAGATAAACCATTTTTTACCCTTAAACCCCCCCCCCCTCCCACTTCCCGAACTCAGATCGCCCGTAATTTATTTTTCCTTTTATTTTTATTATATTCTTCTCCTTTTCCAATGGGTTTCATCCTACTGTTATTTTTTTTGGTTTCAAAAATTATCGACCCTGGTCTACACCAACTGGAATAAATAATAAAAATATAAAAATAAATCTTATTTACAATCATGTAGCAAATAAAATATACTATCAATTGTCTTAATAAGGCATTCAATAATAATAAGTAATACAAAAAAAACAGTTGACGACATCCAAATGTGAACGATTTGGGTGTAAGTCTAGCTTTTGCTAGGAATATAAAGAAAATAAATATATATTTTTAATTTTTATCGTTTCGCAGACTGGACATTAAAATTTAATGATTTAATCTTTAAAATACGAGTAAATTAAATAAAGGAAACCCCATTGCATAGGGCTTATGCAAGAAGTAGGGTAGAATATCCATTTTTTATGACAACAGTTGGAAAAACTGTAAATTGTATTTTTTAATACATAACAATTTCGTTAGATTAAGAGAAAACTTTTTACAGCATTTGGTTAAAAATTCTAAATTATTTTTTTTTTTAATTTACAGAAAGAACTATTTTCTTGTTCACTCATTGCATCTTTGAGGCGTTCCAATTGGGTGATAGGATAGCGATTTTTAACGATGGTAGCCTGAAATGTATGGGATCACCTTTATTTTTGAAGAAAAAATTAGGAGCCGGCTATCGACTTGTAATAGTCAAGAATAAAGAATGCGACGTAGATAAAATAACTAAAATGTTAAAGAAGCACATACCCAGTATAGAAGTAATTTATTATTATTAATACCGAAACTTCGGCTTTGGCTAAAATTGAGCCGAAGGTTTAACAGACTGCTTTTAAATCCCCAAATTTTCCAGTGGGAAGTATACTATATACTACTATAGGCTTCTGCTAAACCTTCCATTTTTTTATTTTCCGTCCCATTTTGTCCGTTCAACGAAAATCGAAATTAGGGGAAAAGTTGCTTTGAAACGGTCGTAAAATATTGTTCCTTGAAAATGGATCGGATCCGTTAAAAAAAAAATTAACAAAAAATTGGCCAAACAAAAACAAGAATTGGAGGGTAAAATAATGCAGTTTAACGTATTCAACGATAATCAACATCGAAATAAAATATTTTTTTTTATTAAAAAAATACCTAATTAAATAAATTTTAATATATTTTTACCCAAATGCACAATCAACACAACAAGGTCCGTTCTATCTCGTTTCACGCATACTAAAAATCACTGAAACACTGCACATAATGATTATGTCATAATCTAACGGCGGCCATTTTTATGTTTACAATTCTTGTGATTTGGGTTTGTGCTGTTAATACAGATTAAACATCGTTTTAAAGGTTGTGTTTCTTACAGAGGCACTTGTAAGCTTCAAATGAGGCCTTCAAGTGCTAAGAAGAACCATTTCACTTCTCTTTTTTAAAAATAAACCTTAATCTATCAGGGCTGTCATCAAACCGTCAAATTTCAATTTTAAGGTTATTGTACCATACCCTCAAATTAACCTTAAAATTGATATTTGACAGTTTGATGGCTACCCTGATAGAATAAGGTTTATTTAAAAAAAATACTTAGCACTTTAAGGGTTCAATTGAGACCAAGTGCCTCTGTAAGAAACACAACGTTTAAAACAATTATTACCTAATCTGTATCATCATCCCCCAAAGGATGACAATTTATTAGGTGACACCCCGCATTTCTTAGGTATTGACCTAGATGGCCTTTACTTTACTTTACTTTACTTTAGCCTGGGGGTTAATAGCTTTGGCCATATCTATTTTACAAATGATCATCATCAGTATTTGATTTTTAAAATATTTGAATATCGAAAAAACTATGTTGTTTCTGCTATAGTGAGCGCGTTAAAATCCCTTTTGAACCAAATAAGATATCGATGTCGGACAAAAACCAGGGTAAACTATATTGTGTTTACTACTTTTTGACGTCAAAATGAAATTTTTTTGCCTAACAAGTGCCAAGAGGGCACTATCAACTTGAAAATTTCAAATGGAAAGGGGGTGCTTGTGATACCTCATTTGAAACGTATTTTAATTCTCTATAAACACTTTTTTGTTTTTAAAATCCGTTTAACCATAGCTTAGTTATTAGGGTTTAAAATTTTTAAAAACACGTTTTATTTTGGTTTTAATTTATAAAGAAAAATTTTAATTAGATGTTCGAAATGTTCCTCTTGGACAGCTTGTCACACAAATAGCCTATCTTCAAATTCATTTCTAACATTAGCAAAAGTTTCTTGCGTAATACTAGCACATTCACGTCCAATCCGGTGTTTAGGATCATCTATGGTTTCCGGTTCTGTAATGCAGACCTTCGATTTTAAATATCCCCACAAAAAAAAAGTTAAGTGGCGTTAAATCGGGAGAACGAGCCGGCCATTCGGTATGACCAATCCACCGATTTGGGTAACTGTTATCAAGCCATTGTCTAACATCCCTAAAATAATGTGGGGGCGCTCCATCCTGCTGAAATATGACTTCTCTGTCAAATTCATCAGAATAGATATTGATTATTTCCTCAATCATTGGTTAAATTTGGGTTTGAAGCATACAGAATACCTGTCAAATTTTGTTCCAAAAAGATGGGGCCTACGATGTGGTTTCCCAGTATTCCCGCCCATACATTAACTTTTTGCGGATACTGGGTGTGACCTTCTCGAAAAAAATGTGGTTTCTGCAACTGCGGCCGTCGATTGTTGTGGAATATTGACAACCGAACCAACTATTTGCACCTGTTTCTCTTCGGAAATTGATTTCCTTCCCGATCCTTTCTGCCTACCCACACTTCCACTTGTTTGAAATTTTGCCACCAAATCCCGTAGATATTTCCTGCAAATTGGGTTTTCTGGGTACCTTTCATTAAACACCCTTTTTGTTTCGTGCAAGTTTCGCCCCATTTCACCATAAATAAAAATAGCCTGTCGATGTCGAACCATTATACATTCAAATATTAATTTAAATTGCATGAACAACCAACAATTTAATACTAAAGATATTAATTATTTTATTTTTGTATCTTCTTAAAAACAGGATATTGGTACGGGTTTTTAAAACAAAAAAGTTGGCAAAAAACGCATAATTATTGCACTGGTTTGCAATAATTCGCACTCTGCGAAAATGTGAGTAAAAGCGACAAAAACGCTTAATAACTAAGCTATGGTTAAACGGATTTTAAAAACAAAAAAAAGTATTTAATAGAGAATTAAAATACCTTTCAAATGAGGTATCACAAGCACCCCCTTTCCATTTGAAATTTTCAAGTTGATACTGCCCTCTTGGCACTTGTTCGGCATACTGACGTAAAAAAGTAGTAAACACAATATTGTTTACCCTGCCCCAGTAGCACAAAATATTGGTCCTATATGGGGCGCATATATGCCCAATATTTTATCTGGGACCAATATTGGATTTATTTAGCCGATGTTGGCCCTATATTGGCATAAAATGGTTATTTAATATATCTTGCCAATGTTTATCCAATGTTGGTCCTATATTGGCATATCATTTTACGCCAATATATCATTAAACATATTTATCCAAGATCGGGCCAATATTGGCATATCATTTTAAGCCAATATATCATTAAAAATATTTATCCAAGGTTGGTCCTATATTGGCATATCATTTTACGCCAATATTTCATTAAAAATATTTATTCAAGGTTGGCCCTATATTGGCGTAAAATGATTATCCAATATATCATAGTATCAATGTTGGGTTTCAATATTGGACCAAGCTAGAAAAAATCTGACGAAAGATATGTTGGCCCAATATATAAAACGAATATTGGGCCAATATCTTTGTGCTACTGGGGTGGTTTTTGTCCGACATCGATATCTTTTTTGGTTCAAAAGTTAATTTCGATAAGCGTGACCAAATTAACCTAGAAAAACTATTGTCTGTAGGCAGGTATACCTTGCAGACAAAAATGTTGGCCAGTGTGATAATATAACACATTATGTGATGTGGAATGAGATTTACGATTTGAGCGAAATTTAATTAGATGCTTCTGTTGTAATATGAATAATTAAATAATTAATTGATATAATATTAATTAATCTATAATTAATTGTTTTATTTAATTAAAATAACGAAAAATAAATTTTAGACTCTTGAAAATACGGAGAATGAGTTAACTTACATTATAATGGAAAATCAGCAGTTCAAATTTGAAAAAATGCTTGGTGATTTCGAACAAAATCTTCAAGCACTTGGTGTAAGTAATTACCAAATTAAATTGACTTCGATAGAAGAAATTTACGAAAGGTATATTTTATTTAATTATTTAAAAGCTTATTTAAATTTATGTTTCAATTTTAGAGTTGAAAATGATGAGGCGCGTTCGGACATGGGTAAAGAAGTGAGAGGTAAATAATTGTATATTATGTAATAATTTTGATTAACGCCGTTTTAGTTACGAATTTTTATTAGGCACGAGCGACCTTAAATATTTGTATAAAAAATATAAAGTACTTAACAATTTATAACTTGGAAATGTGTATTACCGGCGCACTGAGGGCCAGGATTTTGTAAAACATTGAAAAATATCAAACTCAACAAATGTATCAAATTTTATAATGTAATTATCAAAAACAAAGAAAAATAAGTTAATTTCACTTACACAGTGCAACAATTTTGGGGCTTTTAAAAATGGACGCAATTTTGCATAGCACATTCGAAAGTATACATTAAGATAAGAAAAAGCCTAGCTCTGTTTTGCGATATTAGCTCGCATTTTTATTTTATGGCTCTATAAAGTTTTACAAAATTTGTGAATTGACCTGCTCAGTTTTTGGCTAATTACTCGGCAACTATTGAAGATAGCGACATACTTTTTTTTAGCAAAATTTTAGCTAAGAGTGCCAGCAACAAATTTTATTAACATATTATGCCTCAAAAATTACATCTAAATAGAGTTTTTGAGCAAAATATCGTAAATAGTCAATTTTTATTACTTTTTCGAACACAAGTCGCAATGTATTCTACTTTTTTGATAAATTTATGTGGCAAAATTATAGTTTATGTAAAAATAAACAATTTTTGTGAACTTATTAACCCGAAAAAAACTTACCTGATGTGTATCTTTTGAAGCCAAAATCAAGAAAATGAAAAAAATTAAGTAAACGAAAAATATATATTAAGGTCGTGCTTTCTTGGCTGCAGGCTTAACAACATCAGAATCTTCATCGTCCGAAGCAACAAATTCTTCTATAAATCTTTCCGTTTCCTCTTCATCTTTTTCGTTTTTTTTACTGTCGCGGTCTTCAAACCTGCGCTTGCTCCACCAACAAATCTCAGCGAGAATAGCATCTGGTGCTTTCTTTTCTCTGTACCTAAACGGAATAACAATTGTAAATGAACTAAGAAATAAAATAATAAAAATCTACCTTATTTCGAATGGAATTGCAGTTTGATGATAGCGTTCTCCCTGCTCATCTGATTCGGTTGGCAATTGACGGCTAAAGTTTTTCAAGTAATGATGCAAATAGTGTATTTTAAGTGACATATGTACATTGTACACCAATGGTTGAAAATGCATTTAGCATACTCCGCAATGATTCTGCATAATTTTTAGAACGATGTTTGCCCAAAAATCCAGTTATAACATGCTTTATGAAATACCATGCAACTAATTTATCGCCCACTAAAACCACTTCAAATCGTTCATTTTTCATTAACCTCCTTAAGTCTGGACCATTGAGAACTCTATGCTTTAACTTGTTGACACTAATTCCGGTAAATATTTCGCTTAAGCATATTAATACGTCCTCTCTTTTTGCTACAGCTGTTAAGAAGTTTTTCACGATTCCAAGTTTAATATGAAGAAATGGCATTAATATCTTTTCAGGTGCTACAAGCGCTTAGCGTACAACATTACAATTTTTAAATTCGCTGTCCTTCCTATCTTTCCTATCGTTCTTTGCGTATTGGTCACCAGTGTATCTCGTATTGCAATCACACAAGAAGCACATGAATTTCGTGTAGCCAGCTTGCAATCCAGAGAGTATAGCAACAACTTTTAAATCGCAAAAAATTCTCCACTGATATCATCGATGTTGTTATACTGGACCAGTTCCAAAATGTACTTCATTTTATCATACGTTTCTTTTGTGTCCGTACTGTAGGCGATTGGGATTGAAGGTTTTTCGTTTAATTTATGCAACAGCACGGCTTTCAAACTATTTTTAGAACTGTCTATAAACAGGCGCCAATCATCTTTTTCGTAAATAATATCCATAGCCTTCATTAGCTTCCCGACGTCTTCACAATACGCGAACGGTTTTTCTTCATTCACAGTGAAAAATTGTTGCATTTCTTTATTTCGGTTTCGGTAGGCAGTCACTTTAGTATTACTTGCTAGCAAATTATTTTCATTTAGGAATGACGCCAACATTTCCGATTTCCGTTGTGATAGCTCCAACATAGCTACAATATGATCCAATTTGGCTTGCGTAACAAGAATAGGATCACTTTTAATTGAGACCGGATTATATTCAGATTCATATTGTGTATATGTAGTTGCTGCACATGAAAACATAACTGGGCCTGGAAATGTTGATAGTACTGGGACAACATCGGAATGGGGCAACGGCAACTATGCACTTCGAACGGGAACATAAACTTTATTTTTTGATTTTTTTTGTTTAATCCAATTACACTATTTACACACGCATAACAATTTTGAAAATCATGAGGGCCAGGATCAAACCATAACATTGGTATACCATATGGTAGAAAATGAACTTTCTTTGCTTTCCATGCTATAAACCCATTGTAACAGTTTCTGCACACGCTTTTTGGAGCCCACGGTGCATCCTTTTTAACATTTTGAGAATAGTACTTTTCATAACACATATCAAACTCGTCACTTAAGGGTAATTGTTTATTTTCTTTACCCATAGGGGTGAAATGACCACAAACATAACAAAAATTGTTTATGTTTCCCTTGCACTTTCCCATTTTCGCGTTTTTAACAACAAGACAATTTTAACAACAACAATAACAACCAAAGTAAAACGAAAAAAACAACAAACGCAAAATGAAAAAAGTAACAATAACGTAACAAAAAACATTACAGCGTACAATCGTAACTATAATCACAAAAACTTTAAAATAGAAACAACAATCACCGTACTGACGATTGCACGATGACATATGACGTTTTTCAGGCACACTACAATTTATAATACAAAATATAAGCTTTTGATCATAAATCGATAATAGTATATTACACTACAAGGGCGAAGCCGAGGGCATCATGGCGCGCAGTTCAGGGCTCTCACACTTTCTGCCCGTGTAGTGTATACTATTTTTCTTGCTACCCGGCCGAAAATACAACCCAACCCAACTCGGCCGAAAATACGGGAAAAAATTAAATGTGTATATCGAAACATATTGATGCCTGCCCCGACATTTGCGGCACGAGCGAAGCCTTCTTAGCCCTTGTAGTGTAATATACTCGAAAATACGTTGTTTCGTCCCCGATTCCAATGCATCAAACGTAAATTTGACCAATGCATCAAACGTAAACTTTCTGCCGTGGAATCGGGGACGAAACAACGTATTTTCGGCCGAGGTAGTAAGAAAATATTAATGTATATGGGATTTTTTCTCCTTAAACGTTATTTTTGACTGTTTAATGATGCGACAATATTTCTTTAAAGAAGCTATTAAAAAAAATTGGCTACTTTGAAGTGATGGTCAAAAATTGACTATATCTCTAAATTTTCGTTCAAAGCACAGATTAGGTTTTTTTCGGGTTATGTGTTCACAAAAATTGTTAATATTTAAGAGTTCTATTATTTAACCTTTATTATTGTTAACGATCACTACCAAAGTATTCGATAATCTCCTAGGCTGTAAAAATAATTTAGTCTAGTAGTTCAAAAAGTGCCAACAGCTCTAAAGCTATCTAACCTCACTTTATACTTTTAATAATTGTTATTATAATTGTAACTTACAATTTGTAAGTACGTTTTATGTACCGTTTAACAAATAAGACTTTGCCTTAAAGATAAAATGTTGTATGCCATTCGACTGAGAAGTGTTTTTTGTGCTAGCTCAATTTGAGCTCAGCACAAAAAGACCAACTTCTTAGCCTTATGACATAAATAACCATTATTTTTACAGCTATAATTTTACCACATAAATTTAACAAAAAGTATAATAAATTGCAACTTGTGTTTGAAAGAGCAAAAAAAAAAAAGAAATTTTTACAATATTTTGCTCAAAAAATTAATTGAGATGTGATTTTTGGGGCATAATGTGTTTATAAAATTTGCTGCTGACACACTTAGCTAATATTGTTATAAAAAAAGTATGTCGCTATCTTCAATAGTTGTCGAGTTATTGGCCAAAAACTGGGCAGGTCAATTCACAGATTTTTTAAAACTTCAAAGAGCCATAAAATAAAACTGCGAGCTAATATCGCAAAACAAAGCTAGGGTTTTTCTTATCTTGATGTATACTTTTGAATGTGCTATGCAGAATTGCGTCCATTTTTTTTGTGTTGCACTGTGTTATAAACAGCTGCCCAGACAACGAAAGATTATTAGACCAGAGTAAAATTTAACTATATTTTGCTATTTTGCAAACTTTACCCACCAGGGCGAAATTGCAAAACTTATTGAAGATCTTGTGTTTTGTAATGTAAGATATAGGATATCAAAATGGAAATAATGTCACAAATAGAACTTTAAGAGCCTATATAATATATAGTATATATCTCTATATATACTTTATTTTTCAGCCTTTTTTTTTAAATAATATAGATTTTCATAGACATCTTATGGCCGCAAACAAATCGAAACAAAGCCGAAGGTATAAGATTGAAAAAGCTGAGTTACGCAAAAAAATTATTTAAAATGCTATATTTTAAATTTAAGTCTTTAATAACAACTATAGAACTGCAGGGAAAATATAGTTGTCCAACTTTCTTAGTCGGAATCACTATCGAAGCTTGTATTGCTGTCAAAACAACCAGCTTGCTGCAATAATTTCAGTGCCTCTGGGCAAAATTAATAAATATATTTTTTATTTCTAAGATAATATTCTTAAAAAGTTTATATATATACGTATATATATATATATATATGTATACGCGTAAAAGTACCAAGTGACACCAAAAACTACATTGACGTTCCCGCACCCAATATTTTTTGCGCTTAATGTGAATTAATGGCACCTTATATATTTTTTAAGTATATATGCGTTCTGACACTATACAGATATAGGTATAATACCTTTGTTTGAAAGTTAGTGTTTTATAAAAGTAAAACTAAAATATTGCTCGCTTTAGGAAGTCCTTTGTCGAAATAATAAGTCAGATGTTTCGAATAAAATATTTATTGTCATCACATTTATTTTA